ATACCCGTCGTTATTGTGCTGTGCCAGGCCGAAATTGGTCAACCGTAGCGTCTACGGCGCTATGAAAACCATGCAAGTGAGTTGGGTCGGAAAAATCCTCGTCGAGATTTTCCTTAGAGATTGTTCGAGCTGTAACACAAGCATTACCAACAACAGATTAAGCTGAAATTTGGAATATACTTATATGATATAAGTGTTCAACTACTTATAACAACTTTCGTAAATTCCTAGAAATTGATATAAATACAAAGATTTGGGGACGTTTTCAAACGATTTCTTCCAGACTTGGAGGTCTGCTTTACCATTAACCAGTATTGAGTTTAGAATTTCTTCTTCCGTTATAATTTAACATTTCAATCATACTGAGCATATTTTCTGAGAAACACAACGTTCAAAAGGCCATGTTTTGGGGGGTTCACGAATTTCACAGCGTCTAAGTACGTAATCGGATTAGCTTTACTTGACAACCAGCCAAGCTTCACCCTTGCAACCATATGGCTTATATTTGCGAAGTTGCGAACAGTTCCAAATATGCCGTGTGAGGCGCACTACTAATGCAACAGAGTAACAGACATGGGCCGTATGCATTTTTTCCCTTGGTAGGTGAAGCCATGTATCATGAATAATAAGCCATTTGCGAGTAACCTATACCCTTTGGGATTTACTTTTGAAAAACGTCTGGTACAATGACTTGCTCAGAATGCTTGGCACATTTTAACTTTGAATTCTCCAGACCAAAGACACTGTTGCTAATCACAAGATTCGGGGCAAGCTCTTGCATAGTTACGTAAGAGACGCTCAGCACCAATACATCGTTCACAATGGGTGAGAATGGCACAAAGACACCAGACCATGCCGGAGCTGGGGTTGCTAGCATAAGGCTTGCCCCGAATCATGTGATATAGTAACAGTCTCTTTGGTCGGGAGAATGCTAGGTTAAAACGTGCAAAGCATTGTATTAAGTCAGCGTTCCAGATTTTATTCAAATTTAACTCGCAAATGGCTTATTCAGTGTGGGTGAAGCCATCACGAATAATTCAGTAGTTCTCGGCTCTTTGAAATTATCCCAGCGATAAATTTGGAGAGAAAAATAGTTGATGAAAAATGGGCATAGGTGGATTCGAACCAGTGATATTTCGATCCCTAATTCATCTCACTGTCATCTCACTGCTGTAGCTTGGTGACCCCTCAACATTTTGGACCCCATTTGGGTCCAACGCAGCTTGCGTAGATTTCGCCCATGGACCACGTGCCCGGAAAAATATAGGTACACAAAAAATCCAAGACGGGTCTGATGAAGCCCTAACCTTTACTAAAAGATCGCTGACGGAGCCTAACCTAAGGAACGGAGCATGTAGGCCTACAACTTTCTGGTTTTTTTTTTAAATTACTTCAGTCACGTGACTTTCCCACTTTAAGTCATCTTGAATGATCACACCTAACACTTTAACAAATTGCACATTCTGAAGATGAATGTTGTTTATAAACAAAGGAGCAACTTGGTCAGTATTCTTGGCAAATGAAACTGTCATGGAAACTGATTTGGTTGCATTTAACTTCATGTTATTGGTAGATGTCCAGTTTAATTTGTAGACCAAGGATTGTTGATGCATGATGGTTGTATGCATTTTCGGCTTTCAACAAAAGTTAAGTCATCAACATAATTATTTGTAATATGGGGTCTGATCATGACAAGGAACAAAATAGGGCCAAGTTTGGTACCTTGAGGGACCCAACTGTGAATTGTTTCCCATGTAGAGTATTTGGCAGTATACTTTACACGTTCCTGACGATCTTCAAGGAAGCTCATGATCCAAGACACAATGCATGGCCGTACTTCTAATTCAATCAACTTTCTTATCAGGATGTTATGGTCAATTCGATCAAATGCTTTCGAAAAATCAGTTAGCACAATGGTGGACAACGACTTAGGATTATCAGCATTCGCATACAGTTGATGAATGGCAAGTAGACAGCTCACGTTGGTTTCCAAACTGATTTACATCAATCTCATTTCCTGACAGATCTTCTAACAACTATTTTGCTATAAACGTTTCAGCATTTTTGGCAAACCAGCTGGTGAGGGCTATAGGCTTGAGATCACTAACAGTAGGACGTTTTATTTTGGAATGGGTACCGGGTGTAACTTTGGCAAGTTACACAAGTTACAGGGATTTTGGCAAGATCAGAGGAGACATTGAGGATATGAGCTAGGGGGAAGCATATCTCATGTGCAAACTCCCGCAACACACGTGCAGGTAAGTCATCATGAGTGCTCGCTTTTTGTGTTTTTAACCTGCGAATTTCATGTTGTCTTTGTCGGATAACTGCTTTGATCTTCCCATAAAGCCAAGGTTTGTCAGACTCGTGGAAGTGAAAAACACGGGTAAGTGAAGTTCCAAATGTTCTTGAATCTTCGTACATAGAAGATCACATTTTTGCAAAGGGTCCTCTACTTGAAAAATTTCTTCCCAAGTGTGACCTAGTGTGATCCAAGTACCAAATGCCCAACGACCGCTTTCAGTCATTGGACGGACAATTTTTCATTTGGTAGCGTTTGTTTATATGGTTTGGTCATCCAAAGAACGCAATTGTGGTCACTCCTTCCAATCGGACTCAAAGTTCGAATCTGTGAGTAGAACTGCAGGCATAATTGGTTATGATCTCGTCCAGAATATTTGGACCTCTTGTGGGTAGGGAAACAACTTGGGCAAAGCGGTCATCGTTAAGGATTGCTGAAGTTTCCAAGTCGTTAAAATCTCCCACAATCGAAATACCGGCTCCAGGATACTGGACCAGAAGCCCTTCTTCTTCTTCTCTTCTTCTCGTCTTCTTCCAGTTGAGCACTAACTTCACAATTGAAGACTACAGCACTTTTGGTGGGGTGTGATGCGAGAGACGGCTTAATTTTTAGTTAGAGCCCCTTTAAATGTATCGGCAGTTGGTGCCTGGATGACAGATTGTGGCAAGACACTCCAATCCCTCGCAGTGCGAGGAAAGAATGACATCCTGTGGTAGTCTCGAACTGAGTGAGGGATGCAGTAAGCCTGAGAATTTTCCGTTCGTCTGGGATTGCTATGGTTCTTGGAAGACAAATACTTTGAGATGTCAATTGCAGCTTGTTGGTTATTCATCTTGTATAGTCAGCCTTGCAAGCCTGCGTCTCTCGGCAGCCAGAGTCTGCCTTGAAAGCTCTTGCATCATGGTTCCAACACTTGAGGTATACCTGTATCTGTCGAGAGTAAACCTGGCAGCACGACGCTGAACCTTTTCCAAGTTAGTGATGAGAACATCTGTATATATGGATCCCATACTGTGCTACCATATTCCAAGATTGGCCTGACAAGTGATTTGTATGCTTGTTTTTTGACCCTAGAGTTCCTAATATTTAAGTTACGACGGAGAAAATTGAGAATGTCGCTGGCCTTGGCAGTGATGTTATCCACATGTTTATTCCATCTGAAGCCGCTGGTGATGTTAACACCAAGATACTTTGTCTGGTCAACATGATTGTGAGCTGTTGGCCATGGAGGATGTACGGATACTGGATGACGTTTCTTTTACGTGTGATACTGATAACTTCACACTTTTCCGGATGGAACTCCATCATCCAGGTTTTTTCCCAGCATGATAGGGTGTCAAGATCCTGCTGGAGTAGCTTGGCATCCCCTTTCCCTTTTACAGCCATGTAGATCATGGTGTCGTCGGCAAAAAGCCTGTCAATAGTCGAGAGTAGATGGTTGATGTAGTCCGTTGAGCATCAGGGGTGGAAGGTAAACTATGCACACGATGAGAGATGACACTTAATCCAAAGAGCTTCGATGTTATCAGTTACCTGTAATGACAGTTTTCTGGCCTTCATAGCATGCTTGGCATAAAAGGCTACTCCGCCTCCTGAGCGTTCATTTCTTGTCATTTGAAAAAGTGAGGAAAAGCCAGCCATACTGCGAATTGATCCGGGGGTGTATCAGGCTGTAACCAAGTTTCAGTTATTTCCGGTAATTGGCTTTTTCGCAAATTTGCGAAAAAGCCTTTCTTTTTGTTCTCATTTTTTTTCTTTCTTCTTCCTCTTCTTCTTCTTCTTCTTCTTCTTCTTTTTGTCGCCTAAATCCCATAGACTTTGTACACGTTTTTTTTCTTCTCAGTGCCACTTTTGGCATTAATCTTTGTCATACATCATTCAAAGTTACTGCAGACATAATCCCTATGGCAGAATTGTATGCCGAAGAGAGACGTCATCATGACGTTACCATGGGTCACGTGACGTCATCACAAACGTGCATATTTTGAAGTCCTATATCTACAGAACTGTAAGTCCGATCGGGTTGTAACTCGGTATGTAGGTAGACCGGGATGTGTTATATGATTTTTTATGATTTTTTAAAAAATATTTACAAATTCATTCCCCTTCCAAAATTAAACACTTCCTTTCGTTGCATTGACTTCAAGCTTGGTACAAACCAAGACCACAATGCAAAAATGTGCATTGACAAGTGCTATCAAGATGACGTCATCGTAAGGCATGTGACGTCATCATAAAGGTGCATTTTTAAAGTCGCATATTGAGAATGGTTCAAAATTGCGTATGAACCTAGGCCGATACGTCTGATTTAATATGGATTATTTCTTTTTGAGGATAATATATCTCACAGACGCTACATTCTAAATTAAAAAATCCTTGTACCGTATAATTTGAAACGTTGTACATGCATAGTATAGGACGTGTTATTGATACAAAAAAATGGCGTAATGCGAAAAGGCCCTATGTTCTGTTGTTGATTATTATGATTATTATGAAATTCATTTTTCATGTCCTTTTTACAAGTTGAAATGCAGCCATTTAGGCCTACTTGATTCTGTATTTATTTCCAATCCCAAAGTGAGAATCGATGACGGAGGGACTGGGAGCCACTCTAGTAATTCTGCAGCACATTAACGTCAACAGAGGGCGGACTTCAGAAGCTCACATCATCATCATCCCATCAGATGACTTGTGATTTTTTTTTTTATAAAAATCCCACAATTCCATTACCGGAAGTAAAGAAAATATATTATGGCTGATCGTTACTCATTGAGAATCGTGACAAATAACCCGCATTCTCGAGCCACAAACAGTAGATATACCGAATTAAACAGGTAGGAAATACTAGTGGTAATCGTGTAGTTTAGGCCCCTTTCTAATTTTTTTAACATGTTAAAGAGAACAAAATGATTTTTATGATAGGCCTAGGCGGCCTATTGTTTTGGGATTTTTTCCTAGTTCCGGATCGCAATAATTTCCTATGTGTTTTCGGCTCAACTTATCCTCGAATTCAAGTGATATTGGTTAAAAATTTACCTTGAGTAATGGAGATACTACAAAAGAATTTTCCAACTTTAAACTCTTTTAATGTTGACTTTGCGACGTCAAAAGTTACTCAGTCCTAGAAACTATGATGCTCCGCGTGAGCATCATACATGTCATAGTTCTTAGACCCTACTCCTAGAACTATGAGTATGAGGCTCCACGTAGTGGAGCGGAGCCTCATAGTTCTAGGAGTACTTAGACCTGTGATAGCCATGCTTCAATCTACTAGTAAAACTCTCTAAAGTGATCCGCGGTTACTACGATGGAGTGACCGTTCTAGCCGAAAATTGCATACAAAAATGAGTTGTACAGAAAATCCAGCAGAATATTTTTTTCGGCAGAATTATGAAGATGAAGGAAAATGAAAAAAGATTAGATGAATATGGCACATTTGGTTTGAAAAACCTTCATTTATTGAAAGATCCCTGAAACAAATCATTGCACTATGGACCAGCAATTATACTTTGGCAGACCTTCAAAGTGGATTTAGCAGAATTGTACATGGTATTACGGTCAGCCTGCTATGTAAGATGGTTAGTCGGGTACCCGCTGGTGGGACTCTAACCGTTTTGCACATGCGGGACTCGGGGTACAAGAGTTGTCATGCCTGTCTTTGATTTTCTGATCATTTTCAAAATGTTCGTTGTGACAAAGTTGTGCCGTACTTTACATAAAATATCTTGGCAATGACAGATCCAACACTCATGTGAATTCACAGGAAACCTAACAAGTAAGTGATTTACGTATGGGCAAAATTATACATGGTTACATGTAGCGGATCAAAAGATAGAATGATTTCGCTAGTACTTACCCGAGGGAGGCGCGTGGCGTTGTATACAACGCCACGTTCATGGGTCTACATAGTTCTAGGAGTAGGCCAGGTCAAAAGTACCGATGCCACTTTTCCTAGTTGTTCCGGATCGGTTTAACATGTTTTATTGTTTAGGCCTAAACAGTTCCGAATCGATCAAAAACTGCTTTGCATGGAAAAAACAAAAGTACACGCAAGAAAAACAATTTTTCAGCCAAAACCACCCCGAATCAAGCACATTTTCTGTATTACTTTAGGCCTATTTAATTTTGCGATAAACAGTTAGGCCTAACAGGTTAATTCAAGAGAATTCCAGAATTTTTTTAAAGAGAATTCGGCCTAGGCCAACTTAAAAAAAAACATGTTTAGCGTCCTGGAAGGAGGAGACTTTGTAAAAAAAAAAAAACACGACCGGGTGGGCTATTTTTCAAGCTTTTTTTATTAAATGGCCGCCACTTGGACTCAGGAAATGACCTACCAGCTTTATATGGGCTAGATGCAACAAAGAAAGAGGCCAAAATGATGTCACTGTTTAAAATTGATCATTTTTTCCGGTTGTCCCCCCCCCAAAAAAAAGGAGGCGGCCTCCAAAAAGGAAGCGGGCAGGGACGCTTAGGCCGAATAAAAAAAAACATGTTCTCGTCCGGGTTTTTGAAAAAAAGGAGGAAGCGGGGCTTTTAAAAAAAAAAATTAAATTTGTTTCAAGATGACCGCCATTTAAAAATTTCCTGCAACCGTTGGTGTTTCCACTGTTCAAAGACACTTTTAAAATGAAAGATAAGTTGGACAAGAGAACTGAACATATTTACAGTGTCATTTAGACTTGTTTTGGTCTACAATTTATTTTCCGATGAATTTGTGGACTTTTTCGGTGTTTTTTTTACTGCATTTTTCAAAAATAAAAAATAATAAAAAAATCCAGGCGGCCTCCAAAAAGGAAGCGGGCGGGGACGAGAAACATGTTTGTTTTTTACTTCGCCTAAACATGTTTTGTTTTTTATTTGGCCTTAACGTAAATGATTCTGAAACTGGTGTCTGCAGCGCAGTGCAAAAACACAATGAAAATGTTGAGATTGAGAAGACATGAATCTGGGACAGAGAAACATTTCCATTTTGTCTGAAAATACTTTGAAAGTGCACTCAAAGAAGTGGCGTTGGGATATTACATTCTTTCCGTCTTGTAGTTTAGGACACCTCTATCTTTTACAAGTTCCGTTCATAAATCAAAACCCTGCTCTCTTTCCACAAAATTGAGGGAAAGAATTCCAGATACGGACCCCACTTATCTGCCACCAAACACATCAAATTTTAGCTGACCTTGTGATTTAATTGAAGACAAATCCACAAGCATGACAAGGCTCCATAGAACTGAAAACATCTCAGAAAAAAAGGTGTTTTTAGAGCTCATTTTAGGTGCACACATCGTTTGGCAGCAGACCTTGTAGGCAGCCATGTTGTTAATGATTGAAGAGTCTGGAAGTCTGCGGTGCGCATGACAATGCACTAGCTAATAACGCTGCAATATCTCATCTTGAATATTTAATTTCTCATGAATATTTAATTTATTAAATATTCATTAGTCTTTATTCAATGGATACTTTAAAGACATCATTTAGACCCTCAACGCCAACAAGCATTCGAGTGGTTAAGGCTGGTGTGTTTAATAATGACAGTTTCTCCCCTCCCAGGTTTCGATTCCCATGGATGTCCGTGAAGTAAGTACATGTAACTGATTAAGAAAGAGGAATGGAGGAGGGAAGAGGGTGAGAGTCAAGGAGGGGAAACTGGAGGAAATAACCATAGAGGATGTAACTTTTTGGTGCTTAAACTTTTATTGAAAAAAGTGACGTCTGTATCCGGAATTCTTTCCAAATTAAGCCAGCTGGTATTCCTACTTCTAGAATTGGAAGGCACACTGTGTGCCTTCTAGCACTACATGTAGGGTAAAAAGGGGAGTATTTGAGCACATAAGGAAAACTGACACTGACTACTAGTGTAAATGAGAGAGTGAGATGCATAGCATCAACCCTAGTCAGACCTAAGGTTTTTGCTTAGTAACGATCGGTTGGATTCTGCCTCCGGTCGAATATGTGGCGCTATCAGTATCAATCTAAATGAGTGGTTTGTGGGGAACTTTCATTCGGAGATTCAGGCCAAAATAGGGCCACTTCATCACATCACTTCATCGCATCTCTTGGTGTTCTGACAGTTTCCATAATTTTTTAACTAAAGATGGTACCAGCATGCGGTTTTCACAGCAGAAATGCTGGGATTGTGCTCTTTTCACATCGTAAAAAAAAAAATGACCAGGGCCGACAAACGACTCATTTAGCTTGATCGCATCACATATACCCCCACTTACTGGTAAACAGATTGTGGCGAAGAATTTGACCAGATAAGAAAAAGCAGCACTGCCTAGTGTAACTGAGAGGGTGAGATCTTGACTGTAATTACTTATAACATGACCGCGCACATACTTTGTTTGCAGCCTTTAATCAACCCTTGTCAGACCGAAGGTTGGTGCGTAATCATGTTAATTGTGAGTGGTCGGATGTTGACATTGAGACTGGCCTTGGACAACATCAGCATCCAAGATTTGACTTCAACAACCCAGTCAAGCTTGGGTTTGAGATGGTGATTTTGATAAAATTACCAAAAATTGCCCCATATATCCCAAAGTACCAAATACACCACCTCCGGATCCAGTACAGATCAAGAATTAAGATGATGGTACTAAGGTACCATTCTTTTCCGAGAGCTCCTGTCATGTCCCTAGACACGTTAAACTCCTGATTCATTTGAATGACAAGGTAGTGACGTCGTGATCATGCCCAGTGCCCGCTGATGTGATCCCAAAGTATAATTGCCTAAAATGATCATGGAGAGAGTCTTTCAAGATCGAGCGCGATTTTGTTACCGTTCGCGTGATATCAATTATGATAATGTATAGACTGGTTCCCATTTGTAGTCTGACTACCTCTGCCGTTAATAGTCTCCTATTTATAAACGAGTTGTGCCTATACTAGTCGCTACGTGTATTTCCATCAGACTGTTGTACTATCCTCTAACACTAAATATTAAGTTGCGAAGCTGAAAAATGTCTGATTTTTCACTTCTTGAAAAATGTACTGATTTCGGAACATAATTAATGTGATCTACAAGTCTTGGCCAATACTACAATCACTTACTTTTAAAAATACAATTTTGTGGTGAATTTGTTCTCTGATTCTGGGCCCTTTTTTTTTTATCAAGCTTCAACTTTTTCTGATGATTGAAGTCCAAAGTTGCATTAGCCTACATGTACATGTACATATAGGTCTGATTCCCATCTCCTGAATACGAAGTCGCAATGATGATGTACCAGACAGCAAGATGCGATGATGATGAGATAATGTATGTGTGTTCACATGTATTCAAGGTATTAATGTATGTATTAATGAATATTCATAAGTACCTAAGACAGTTTACCCATTCCTATTGGTCGAGAGCCCATCACGTGGCCACCGGCCAGTCATAAACGGATGATAAAGGACCGGCTGGCTGGTTGTAAACACTTTTCCAGTGTAACATGAAATTTGGACTCCTACGAAATCCAGTGCCTTTTACCGTTTTATTGGTTGAACGTTCACAAGCCTCACGTAGGCATGCGCAATACTACCATTGAGTTAGTATTTCATAGTCCTAAATTTACAATGCACCGCCACAGCTGCATTCTGCTCGACATTGGACAGCACGCACGAGGCGGGCGCCAATCGCCGTAAAAGGAGTTGTTCACCTTTGCATCATTTATTTTTGGCTGTTTCGGCAAGTTGCCGAAACAGCCTTTGTTTCCGTTAAAGGTGTTTTTTTGCTTCTTTTTCAGCCATTCCCCACAGCATTTGTACACATTTTTATTGTGCATGGCACTTTGGGCACTAAAACCAATCCAATAGCCTTTATACTTGGCATACACTTAGACCAGCACCTGAAGATGTGTGCCATTCATTGACGTCATCATGACGTCATCACGTGTCACGTGACGTCACAATAAAGGTGGATATTTTGAATATGTCTATATCTCCAGAACGACAGGTCCGATTGGGTTGAAAGTTGGTATATACCTAGACCGGGATGTGTTATAGATGAAAATTGAAGTGATGTCATGATGACGTCATCACATGACATACATGTATGACGTCATATTAAAGGTGCATTTTTCTAAGGCCTATATCAACAGAACTATGGGTCCGATTTTGTTTTAACTTGGTACATGTATGTATCTACATTGGGATGTGCAATATCTACATGTATCAGTATATAACATGACTTGAACATACGCATTAACAAAATGTCGAAACAGCCATATGTTTGTCCACAAACATAAGTCTAGTTTATTCCTGTTTTTCTTCTGCTTAGAACATTATTGTCTGTTTATTGAACATATTTTCATTTATTTGTTATCTCTGAGCAGCAGTAAACCATTTGATTGGCCTATCAGATACCTCTTCAGTCAATGACTGATGTGGCTATTGTTCACAGTTGCATACATGTAAAAAAGTTGGCGGAATGCAAGCCATTGGTGCAGGTATGCATTAACTACAGTGTATTAATCCTAACCACCCCATTTCCATCAAAATCCATCCCTCCAGTTTGGTGGATTTTGGAGGACTTTGTCCAGAAGGCCTGGCGTGACTAAATATTAATGGAGCATGATGGACTTGGTTCCTAATGGCCTGAAGCAGTGCTAGGGGTATCCGATTGATTTTGCCTAGCTTCCTGTACTGCTATTGTGCTAAAAGCCATGTGTAGTAAGTCCATGAATGTCAACCAGTACCTCAGTGGTGGATTGCATTATGTCATGTACAGTTTTGTATTAGACGCACAGCGATTGATGGATTTTGATGGAATTGGTCCAGTTCCTAGTAAAAGACACTAGGGAGTTAGGGTTAAAAACATTGCTGACTCTACAAATCATAATGAAAATCTTGTTAGCTGCCTGAATAAATGAGTAAATAAAGTCGTTTAAAGCATTAACATAAAGACAGTCAACAGACATATGTTTACAATTGATTATGGTTCATGTTCAAGCCTGAATATTCGCATTAGCTAGCTATTGCACAGTGTCACATGGTGAGCTTTTTCCACCTGGCATGCTTTGGGAAGTTTGCTATTAGTCAAGTGGAGCTCTCGTTAATACACCAAATTATACTGTACATGTACAAGGACAATGCAAGAATGCTAGCACACGTACATTCGTACACGTACTTGTGTAATTCTGAGACAAACGATTGGATGTGTGAAACTGTCAAAAGCAAGTGTACATTTTGCTTCAGTCTAACCATCTTTGATTCTTCCTTGTTTTGTAATTTGTAACAGCCAAGATCTTGAGGAGGAAGGTCCATTGGATGACGTGCCACTCATCATGTCTGAAGATGGCATGGACAGCGAAAATGAAAGCTTAACAAGGAAGGGAAAAAAGAGAGGAACATTATGTGGCTGCCTCAGCAATATATATGACTCCTGTACAAGGTAAATACAATGTATTGTCATTCACAATCTGGTTTAGTTAACACAGAAAAAAAAAGCTTTGTGGTGTTTCTTCTTTGGAGATTAAAAGTTGAGTTAAAAACATCTTGTTGAGATGAAAACATCTTGTTAATGGCAGATAACTTGCAAGACCAAAACGTTTTAATATGACCGAGTATTTTATTTGAGAGGGACATACATGTAATATCTTTGTGTACCTCCTACGTGTTCCTTCGAAAAAAATTGAATAAGATTGGAGATTGGCTTACTAAGCTTGTTAAAACCCATACAGATTGCAGATACCGGGTACATGTAAACAAATGGTTCACAGAATTTACAGAAGTTCTTCCTTAGATTGGAAGGGAAAAGAGTTGTTTAGGACAACTACAGTATATTTGCGTGCATTCCAGCCTATATAGTAAACTCAAAAGTGAGACAAAAGTTGAGATGACAGACAGTAGTTATAACTTTCATGTATTCATAAAGTATATTTGGATTTCTCAACAGTTGCTGTCAGTCATGTAAAAGGGTGGTCTTCAAGGAGAAGGAACTGAAGCCACGTGATGTGTGGCTTGGTCGACATGGACCTGAAGAAGAGAGTTACCCAGCCAACAAAATACGAAACCAGAAATACAACATCATTACATTTCTGCCACTAGTAAGTTATTTCTTGATGATTCTAAAAATGTAATGACAGTAGAATGCCGCTGTAACAAACACTGCTATACAGAACATGAGGCAATCCTGTACATTCTCTTTGGCTCCCAAATTCTATGTACAAATACACACATTTTTATGCCCCGCGGCAAAGCCGAAGGGGCATACTGTTTCCGCCTTGTCCTTCCGTGGGTGGGTGGGTGGGTGTGTGGGTATACGTGTTCATCTTTTCAAACCGTGGACGAAAAATACCAGAGAACAAAAGAGAACAATATTGTCCATGATTCCCAGCATACGTCCGCGATTGGGGTCGTGTACAAAGCCTATGAGAGTCTTCCTAAAAACAAAAGAGGGACAATAGGATGTCCACGATCGACGGTGAACACACGTTTGGGTGGGTGGGTGGGTGGCTGGGTGTGTCCGGACAAATCTTGTCAGCGCAATAACTTGAGGAATACCTAACATACGAACTTCAAATTTGGTTTGTGGATTGTTCTTGGTAATCCTAAGCAGCCTATTGCATTTGGGGCCGAAAGGTCAAGGGTCAAGGTCACAGTAGCTAAAACAAAAGAAACTTTGTCAGCGCGATAACTTGAGAAATACTTAACATGTGAACTTCAAATATGGTTTGTGGATTGCTCTTGGTAATTCTCAGAAGCCTATTGCATTTGGGTCCGAAAGGTCAAGGGTCAAGGTCACAGTGGCTAAAACAAAAGAAATTTTGTCAGCACGATAACTTGAGAAATACTTCACATGTGAACTTCAAATTTGGTTTGTCAGATTGTTCTCGGTAATCCTATAGAGCCTATTGCATTTGGGGCCGAAAAGTCGAGGGTCAAGGTCACAGTGGCTAAAACAATAGAAATCTCGTATTCATTCTGAGATTAATTCATATAAAACCTACAGAAAAACTAGTGATGTCAATGAACGTTCTATGTGACCCAAGTACATGTACATGTAAGTTGATGTTAAAAGAGTGGCGTTATGTCATGGGAACAGTCACGGTTGCGGGGCATTTGTGTTTGTAAACACACCTGACTTGTTTTCAAATATTTCTGAATTTCCCAAAATGCTTCTCAAATACATTTGGACGTAAAAAACTGCCTCTAAGAATCTTTTGATCAGTAGTGCATGGCAAACTGGTTCCCTCCACAATAAAGATGTTAGCCATTGAAATGATAGGAAAGGACCAGGAACCAGTCTATACCTTCTAGTGTGCTCTATTACATGTATTTCTACATGAGGAGGCAACCTCACAACCTGTTGCCTGCTTCAGGGAAGTCCCCACTTCGCAGGAAATTGCTCATTAAGCCTAATTTGTATGAGCAACTGGTTTTCCATAACACCCTTATTAGTATAAGTGGCGATGTACACATGTGTAGATATACATGTACATGTACACGGTGAACTATCTCATGTATTCCTTCCTTATGAAAGGATTATTGTGAAATACTTTACTCTGATTTAAATGATCCTCAGCTACAGACATTGTGACCAGAAATTAAATGACTGATTAGAACACTGTTTCAGTACAAAGTAGAGCTCATGCGTTTGTTGAGTTACAAATGCAGGGTGATCAGGCAGGCAAATATTTAATTTGACATCGGCCAGTTCATATTTTATGAAGGCATGCAACTTTCAACGGATCCGCAGATTTCCGCGTTTTAAAAAATCCGGTCTTGAAACTTTTTTTGATATTGCCACATTCAAATAAACCGCTTGTTTCATGCCATGGTGCCGTGGAATCTTGTGCTGATATCACTTTCAATAAATTGAAGGAAGAATTTTGCTTGGCTCTGCATTTTGTATACGTATAGTGAAATCTCGATGAGTCAAACGCTGATAAATCAAAACAACTGTTTAGTCAAAAAAAGAATCCATTTCCTTCAGTAGTATAAAAATGATATACAACCCTGCTTAACTCAAAACTTTGCTTAAGTCAAATTTTGAACCTGTTCCCTTGAGGTTTGACTTATCAAGCACAGAAAGCACAGAAAAGTACAGTGAGGACGTACCACAATTTTGGACAAACCAAAGTTTTGATCTCTCTTTTCTGTGTATTTATTTATATATATATTTTTTTGAGGCCTTACCACTCATACTTGCCTAGCTACTGCATGACCGGTTCTCATGGCAGTCCAATGAGAAAGATTTACTGTAGCCCAGTTGTAAACCAGCCCAAATCTTAACACTCAAATCTTAACCAGCCCAAATCTTAACAATTTGTGCACTTTTGCAAAAGTGCACAGTAGAGTACAAACCACGCAGTTCGTGTAACAGCCAGGCGACAGCCGCTGGAAGCAGAAAATGTATGCGAAGAAAACTTGGTGTCTTACATTCTCTCCCATGGGCGAAACGATGATGACCCAAAAGTCATCAGCCTACCCACAACCAATTCCACATTAACCCACATTTGTCAGCATGGATTTGGCGCTATATACGCACATGAATGCCTTGAGATCATGGCTGATGAACAGGGTGAGTCAAAAAAACAACCCACATTTTGGGACCATTGTTTTAGCTAACCCTCCTCTTGCTTAAGAGGTCACCAATGGTCAAAATGTTCTTCCTTACCTCTTGGCCTACTGTGTACAAACCAATGGGGGTCTTGACCAATATTGACCCAAGTTATAACCAGGCTGACAATGCCTGTTTCCATAACAGGGTTCTAATTAGTGAAGTTCTGCACTTTCAAAATCCAGGATGTGAAAGCCCAATTCATAAGCTTTCTTTAAGTACAAGAATCATTCAAATCACTCATGTAATTTTCAAGTTACGGAATTTTAAACACAACAAACATTTTAAAGTTCTGTCCAACTTTCACAAAAAAGGTAAGTGTTCTTTCAGCAAATGAAAAACAAATCACATAGGGATGTGTGTGAATTGTTTTCATTTTGCTGAAAGAACGCACACATTAAACTATATGAGCATTGATAATTACATGAAAAATTGTCAGGACAGTCTCATAGAAGGATTGTTAAATGTAGGCCTATGTTTTATTAAAGACTTTATATCTACATCACGCATGGTTACTTAAAAAATAACTCCACGGTATTGGATTACAAATGTATGTATTAGACATGGAGTGCGTATATTGTGAGTACACTCTTTTATCAAAACACAGCCTGTACAAGTGTACACGTACAAAAATGTATGTACATGTAATTATGCATAATATTCTTTTCTTTTTACTTTACTTTTATGTAATTGAAACGTGAGGTCTTGAGGTCTAATGGTCTGGAACCATCAGGTCTTAGTCTCAGTCTCAAACCTGAAATCTCAGTCTTGGTCTCAGTCTCGGACTTGCTGTTCTCGGACTTCCAGTTCTCAGCTACGACACTGCCTGTATGACACACTACATATTTAAGTAAATTCACACTACATATTTAAGTAAATTCACAGCCAACTTCATGAGTGATAATGTCTAGTGGTACCACTCTTTATTATCCCTCAGGATTCCTTCTTTTTGTTATACTGTCTACACAGGCTTGAATACAATAGTGAATGTCCCGTATGATGACGCACATGGACTCACCGTGTACTCAATAACATCTGTGCTTTTGAAATGGATTAATACATTGATCGGTCGTGTACGTGTATTTTAGAAGTAAGTCGATATCTGTACTCACATCAGCTGTTGCCCCACTGTGCAAACTGATTGTTTTTTTCTTTTGTGCACACACACCAAATGGAAACAACTAAAGAATTGGAAGGTAAATTCACAGATTGTGTCTCTTCCTAGAAAAGGGACACCTTTTATATCCCAAAATTAGTAAAGCAAGGTATTAAGTGTTCTTTATGCAAAATGAAAACAATTGTCATAGGGATGCATGTGAATTGTTTTGTTTTGCTAAAAAACACTTACCTTTTTTTGTGATCCGTGGACACAACTTTAAAATGGTGTTTGTTTTCAAACTTTCGTAACTTCAAAATTACATGAGAGATTTGAATGATTCTTGTACTGAAAGAAAGCTTATTAATTGGGCTTTTCATATCCTAGATTGTGAAAGTGCTACAGGCAGAACTTCATTCAAAAATTGGTTCTGCCATTTGTTTTGTTTTTTTACCGCTCACCCTGTACATGTACATGTACATGTACATTGGGTTTGCTTGTTTGCCATGTGTGCACATTCCTGTCCATGAAAGGAATGATATCAAAGGGGCACTAGGTCCTGAAATCCCCCCAAATATTATGTTTTGGATTGTTTACTATTTACCTATTTCAAACATCTGGTTGAAAGGAAACCAACCTAATGTCTTACCATTCCTGAGAAAAGAAAAGAAAAAAACGCTTGTTTACATCGGACATGACGGAGTACGAATACGTTTTTCATGTCATTCTCAGTGTACGATATACACGTTGTGAGTTTCGAGAACAGGGGTGACCAATCACCAATGCAAAAAAAGTGGTTTCTTCAACGTCCTCAAAAGGCGAACACTTTACAAATGAAATCACAACTAGCATCCAAACAGCTCGAATTTATGGAGTCGCAAAAGTGGACCCCGAAATTCGTTCTCGCACGCATAATACAGGAATAACACAAAAACGCCCAGTTTTGAAAGGATAGTTGTGTGGATGTATATATCCTACTTTTAAATGTTATTTCTGATGAAGCGTGTTGTAGCCAAATTGGGCTGTTCTAGGACCTAGTGTCCCTTTGAGGCTGGTCTTAAATGGTTGATTAAAAAGAAAAAGAGTGAACATGTATTGCCTTCCTTGTGGTAATTACAAGCTTTTGATTCACTTTTAAACCGGAATCCCAGCGTCTAGCCCAATCAATTGAGAATGAAATCACTGTACATAAATTCCATACGTACGTGTCGCCTTGATCCTTGATCCATGCGCTGCATGCTCGATCGTACCTACATGTGGGTTCTGTGTGGTTGTGCACATTGGTTGTGAACTGGTTTCCTTCACCAAAAATATTCTTAGTTTTAAGGCTGAACCGATGAATGGAAACCAGCCATGAACACAATGGCGATATGAACACAATGGCGATG